AAATAGTATTTCCTGGGGTGTAAGTCCTTAGGTGGCGTTGTCCGGCTTTCTTCTAATTTTCCCTGTAGTGCCCCTCGCCACAGATATATATTCTTTGTGTGTGGAATATATGCTGACAATAACCGATAAATGATCACGCCCAGAGCCGCCAATGTTAACAACATTTTGTAGAGAGGGGGATAAGTGCTGTCCCATCCTATTTGTAGCATCCGGAGCCCTTTCAGACTCTCACTCAGTCACTTACAGCTGACGTCAGATAAGTCAGTGAGGGTTCAGGGCTTGAGTCTTTAGGGGCCGGATTGGAATTGGGCCTTAAACTGACAATGCTCGCTCATCGCTCCTAGTGCTAGCTCCTCGCATGTTTTCCTAGGTGGGAGGGGCTAAACAGCTAGCAAAGTCAGCTAGGTAAGATAACTAGCAGTAATTTAAGAGACTTGGGACAGACCCATATATGTAGATGCCGCATCGACTGCCTGAGCGCGTCCTGCGCCGCCACCATATTGGATGGGTCTCGCTTCGCCTCCACAGTGCATTCACTTCTATTGAGGAGCTGCATGCACAAGTAAAATAGAATAACTCACTGAATTTTCAACTGATTTTCACGCAGTTTGGTTTGTTACAAACGGCACACATGTAGTTATGATACAGGATACTTTCGTACATTAAAAATGCAGGATTTCATGCTTTAATACAATAAACAGATAGCAACAGCATGTTATTTAGGTCACAACACAGTTCTTTTATTCACCTCAACCCCAGAGTGGGGTGGTCTGTCTGTCTGTCCCTCCCTCCGTCCCTCCACCCGGGGTGGGGTGTGTATATACACACACACATACATACATACATGTTCCAGGTTCCTGTCTGCCCTGCCCCCTCCCTGTCTGTGTGCACCTGATCCCTGATTGTGTCTCCCGCACCTGTGTCTAATCACTCCCCATCAGCCCTGCATATATTCCCTCATGTGTCTTGTCTCGTGTTATCTATCTCCATCCATACATCTATCTATTTATCTATCTATCTAAATATAAATAAATATATATAAATATAAAAAAATCCATCCATCCCACTCTGGGGTTGAGGTGAATAAAATAGCCTAACTGTGTTGTGACCTAAATAACATGCTGTTGCTATCTGCAGGAAGTATTAAAGCATGAAATCCCGCATTTTTAATGTACGAAAGCATCCTGTATCATAACTACATGTGTGCCGTTTGTAACAAATCAAACCGCGTGAAAATCAGTTGAAAATTCAGTGAGTTATTCTATTTTACTTGTGCATACAGCTCCTTCCTCAATAAAAGTGAATGCACTGTGGAGGCGAAGCGAGACCCATCCAAGATGGCGGCCGGCGAGGACGCCGGCTCTGACAGGCAGCGGCAGTCAATGCGGCGTCTATGTATATATGTCTATGGTCAATGCGGCGTCTACGTATATATGTCTATGACCGTAAGTCCGCATCGATGCTACCTACGGTAAGGGGGCATAAAGGGCTCACTCACTGACTTGACGATTTGACAATGGGACAGCCCTCACACACTCACGCACTTAACATGAACGCGCCTCTAAGTCAGTGAGTCTGTTAGGGATCGGATTGGAATTGGGCCATCATCTATGCTTGGAACAGCTGACTTCCGAGTGTGATGCGTGTAAAAAACGTCATCGTGGTCGACCGCAGTGTATTTTTTTCTCTCTCATAAACAGCAGCAGTCACGGCATACATTCTGACTATATTAACGGATACACCCGGACCGTATTACTTGACAACATAAAGGTAGTTACTCGCGTATTTATCAGAGTATAGAGTAAGCAGTAAATCTGAATTTGGCAGCCGTCATCGCTTGCAGTACTACGTTAACCAGAGTTCTTAGCTCTCGCGTCGAAAACGCAATAGGTCGAAACACAGGACAGGTAATTGAAAGACAACGCGCGTGGTACATTGATTAACAAACATTGGGTAGTTGCCTCACACGAAGTTCTTTGTGACTGGTGACGATTCCGTGTGGATGTCTGTAATAGTCTGTGGTAATTTTTCCTGACGGTACGACAACAAGCAGCCAGTCCCGAGCACAACACAAGTTACCAAGTGCTGTTTAGGTAAGAGCCGCCATAGAACGTCACTGTACAGTAACGAGCTCTTATACACACGAGCTTTAACATGAGGTGCCTTCAAGCTGTAAGCTACAGTCGGACCACCACAGCCTGTCCGTCAGCTGGCTCTGTCATTACCGGTGACTGCTGACGTGAATATTAATATTCAATGCAAAATTTATGAATGAATCGGGCTGTCTTGGTAAAGGGCTTTCCAGCGGTTTCTACAGATTTCGTTGTAGGCTTTCACCAGGAAAACTCTTTCCGACAGAAATCCATTAGGAAATTTAATTTAAACCACAACTTTTTTTCCTATCTTTAACCAAGACATCCAGTTCTGGTTGAAAGCCCTCGAGGAAAATTTCTCCCAACTGCCATCCTGCTCAGGTAAAACTAACACTGACTATATATGGGATATATGTCTTTGTGATGTGATTGGGATCTATCCCAGAAAGCCCTGAAGTGTTTGAGACATATGGATGAAGGCTCTGATGAAGTGTGGCCTTCAGTGTGTTTGGAGCTGTGGACTTGACGTCAGCTTGTCGTTGCCTCTGCAGCTACAAGTTTCACCATTTGTATCTCGCGTGTCTCTCAACTTTATAAAACACAAAGAAGTATTTTGATTGTTTACTTAAGTGAAACTACTAATACCCCACTGTGAAAATACTCCACTACAAGTAAAATGACTGCATTTAAAGCTTTACTTACTTAGAATTTGTGATGTGAGCTCCAGGAGTCCATCATGCAGGCTTTGAACAGGTCTACAATGCAGAGGGGTCAGTGGTATTGGTGACAGTAACAACAGCCTACCTCTTCATAGACCATAGTGGTCTGAGATACATGGGTGAAAACATCTGACCTCTGCTAACCCAGCTTAAATGTTGATCTGACATTGCATATAATGGAGCATTATTATAGTAACTCCTAAAGTGAACATGGTTGACACTTAATGCGAAATTAACTGTTTCCAGTACAGGGTGGCACAGTGGTACAGTGGGTGCAGTGGTTGGCATTGTTACAAATATGAGGGTTCGGGTTTCAAATCTTCCTTCTGTGTGGAGTTTGTGTGTTTTCTCCGTGTCAGTGTGGGTTTTCTAAGGGTTCTCCAGCTTCCTCCCACTGTCCAAAGACATCCAGGTTAGATTAATTGGCGCCTTTAAACTGTTCGGGGTGTGAGTAGTTGTCTGTCTCTATGTGTCTGATGATCTGCCCAGGCTGTAGCCCACCTCTTGCCCAGTGTCAGCTGGGTTAGGCTCCAGCCCCCCGCGACCCTTAACAGGATAAGTGTTAACAGAAAATGAATGAATGTTTCCCACAGGATTTTGGGAAACTATTAGGGGGGGGGGGGGGGGGGGGGGGNCTGACAATAACCGATAAATGATCACGCCCAGAGCCGCCAATGTTAACAACATTTTGTAGAGAGGGGGATAAGTGCTGTCCCATCCTATTTGTAGCATCCGGAGCCCTTTCAGACTCTCACTCAGTCACTTACAGCTGACGTCAGATAAGTCAGTGAGGGTTCAGGGCTTGAGTCTTTAGGGGCCGGATTGGAATTGGGCCTTAAACTGACAATGCTCGCTCATCGCTCCTAGTGCTAGCTCCTCGCATGTTTTCCTAGGTGGGAGGGGCTAAACAGCTAGCAAAGTCAGCTAGGTAAGATAACTAGCAGTAATTTAAGAGACTTGGGACAGACCCATATATGTAGATGCCGCATCGACTGCCTGAGCGCGTCCTGCGCCGCCACCATATTGGATGGGTCTCGCTTCGCCTCCACAGTGCATTCACTTCTATTGAGGAGCTGCATGCACAAGTAAAATAGAATAACTCACTGAATTTTCAACTGATTTTCACGCAGTTTGGTTTGTTACAAACGGCACACATGTAGTTATGATACAGGATACTTTCGTACATTAAAAATGCAGGATTTCATGCTTTAATACAATAAACAGATAGCAACAGCATGTTATTTAGGTCACAACACAGTTCTTTTATTCACCTCAACCCCAGAGTGGGGTGGTCTGTCTGTCTGTCCCTCCCTCCGTCCCTCCACCCGGGGTGGGGTGTGTATATACACACACACATACATACATACATGTTCCAGGTTCCTGTCTGCCCTGCCCCCTCCCTGTCTGTGTGCACCTGATCCCTGATTGTGTCTCCCGCACCTGTGTCTAATCACTCCCCATCAGCCCTGCATATATTCCCTCATGTGTCTTGTCTCGTGTTATCTATCTCCATCCATACATCTATCTATTTATCTATCTATCTAAATATAAATAAATATATATAAATATAAAAAAATCCATCCATCCCACTCTGGGGTTGAGGTGAATAAAATAGCCTAACTGTGTTGTGACCTAAATAACATGCTGTTGCTATCTGCAGGAAGTATTAAAGCATGAAATCCCGCATTTTTAATGTACGAAAGCATCCTGTATCATAACTACATGTGTGCCGTTTGTAACAAATCAAACCGCGTGAAAATCAGTTGAAAATTCAGTGAGTTATTCTATTTTACTTGTGCATACAGCTCCTTCCTCAATAAAAGTGAATGCACTGTGGAGGCGAAGCGAGACCCATCCAAGATGGCGGCCGGCGAGGACGCCGGCTCTGACAGGCAGCGGCAGTCAATGCGGCGTCTATGTATATATGTCTATGGTCAATGCGGCGTCTACGTATATATGTCTATGACCGTAAGTCCGCATCGATGCTACCTACGGTAAGGGGGCATAAAGGGCTCACTCACTGACTTGACGATTTGACAATGGGACAGCCCTCACACACTCACGCACTTAACATGAACGCGCCTCTAAGTCAGTGAGTCTGTTAGGGATCGGATTGGAATTGGGCCATCATCTATGCTTGGAACAGCTGACTTCCGAGTGTGATGCGTGTAAAAAACGTCATCGTGGTCGACCGCAGTGTATTTTTTTCTCTCTCATAAACAGCAGCAGTCACGGCATACATTCTGACTATATTAACGGATACACCCGGACCGTATTACTTGACAACATAAAGGTAGTTACTCGCGTATTTATCAGAGTATAGAGTAAGCAGTAAATCTGAATTTGGCAGCCGTCATCGCTTGCAGTACTACGTTAACCAGAGTTCTTAGCTCTCGCGTCGAAAACGCAATAGGTCGAAACACAGGACAGGTAATTGAAAGACAACGCGCGTGGTACATTGATTAACAAACATTGGGTAGTTGCCTCACACGAAGTTCTTTGTGACTGGTGACGATTCCGTGTGGATGTCTGTAATAGTCTGTGGTAATTTTTCCTGACGGTACGACAACAAGCAGCCAGTCCCGAGCACAACACAAGTTACCAAGTGCTGTTTAGGTAAGAGCCGCCATAGAACGTCACTGTACAGTAACGAGCTCTTATACACACGAGCTTTAACATGAGGTGCCTTCAAGCTGTAAGCTACAGTCGGACCACCACAGCCTGTCCGTCAGCTGGCTCTGTCATTACCGGTGACTGCTGACGTGAATATTAATATTCAATGCAAAATTTATGAATGAATCGGGCTGTCTTGGTAAAGGGCTTTCCAGCGGTTTCTACAGATTTCGTTGTAGGCTTTCACCAGGAAAACTCTTTCCGACAGAAATCCATTAGGAAATTTAATTTAAACCACAACTTTTTTTCCTATCTTTAACCAAGACATCCAGTTCTGGTTGAAAGCCCTCGAGGAAAATTTCTCCCAACTGCCATCCTGCTCAGGTAAAACTAACACTGACTATATATGGGATATATGTCTTTGTGATGTGATTGGGATCTATCCCAGAAAGCCCTGAAGTGTTTGAGACATATGGATGAAGGCTCTGATGAAGTGTGGCCTTCAGTGTGTTTGGAGCTGTGGACTTGACGTCAGCTTGTCGTTGCCTCTGCAGCTACAAGTTTCACCATTTGTATCTCGCGTGTCTCTCAACTTTATAAAACACAAAGAAGTATTTTGATTGTTTACTTAAGTGAAACTACTAATACCCCACTGTGAAAATACTCCACTACAAGTAAAATGACTGCATTTAAAGCTTTACTTACTTAGAATTTGTGATGTGAGCTCCAGGAGTCCATCATGCAGGCTTTGAACAGGTCTACAATGCAGAGGGGTCAGTGGTATTGGTGACAGTAACAACAGCCTACCTCTTCATAGACCATAGTGGTCTGAGATACATGGGTGAAAACATCTGACCTCTGCTAACCCAGCTTAAATGTTGATCTGACATTGCATATAATGGAGCATTATTATAGTAACTCCTAAAGTGAACATGGTTGACACTTAATGCGAAATTAACTGTTTCCAGTACAGGGTGGCACAGTGGTACAGTGGGTGCAGTGGTTGGCATTGTTACAAATATGAGGGTTCGGGTTTCAAATCTTCCTTCTGTGTGGAGTTTGTGTGTTTTCTCCGTGTCAGTGTGGGTTTTCTAAGGGTTCTCCAGCTTCCTCCCACTGTCCAAAGACATCCAGGTTAGATTAATTGGCGCCTTTAAACTGTTCGGGGTGTGAGTAGTTGTCTGTCTCTATGTGTCTGATGATCTGCCCAGGCTGTAGCCCACCTCTTGCCCAGTGTCAGCTGGGTTAGGCTCCAGCCCCCCGCGACCCTTAACAGGATAAGTGTTAACAGAAAATGAATGAATGTTTCCCACAGGATTTTGGGAAACTATTAGGGGGGGGGGGGGGGATAGGGGAGGATATAGTTTCCGGAAGAAAATTTTGAACATTGTAAATTGAAAATGAAATGAATTTGTATACAAAATGTACAGAAAGGTAAAATCATCAAGTTTTGAAAAAGTATTGC